CACCCCAGCTCGTTGGGAGGCTGAGACAGGAGGATCGCTTGAGCCCAGGAGACTGAGGTTGCTGTGAGCTAAGATGGCATTCCAGCCAGGGTGACAAAGTGAGACTCTGTCTCAAAAACCAAAACAAAATAATCTTTCAGAACAGCTACACTGTCTCAAAAATCAGCCAGTATCACAGGTACACATTTTTCAATCCTTTGAAAATATTAGTTACATAAAACTAGGCGTACCATTCCTCAAAATCATACACTAACTGTCAGGGAAGAATGGTCTTAACTCCATCTACCGGTAATTAGACACCACAGTCACCGATCCAAGATGAGTTTTACGGCACCGATAAGGTTGGATGTGAGAAACTCTGCAGTTATGCTCAACGCACACAAAAATCCTTCATAAGCATCTTAGCAGCGCGTGTATCTAGGTCAGCGGTAAGAACTTTCTCTTGCAATAATGACGGGAACTAACTAAGATGCTAAAGTGATATCCAGGTCCCTAGCCTACTCTGTAGTTTAATAATTTAATCCTGACACTGACGGCAAGGCTGGAGGTGAGGTCTGCGTGGTAAAAGGTAGGAGTCTGGCTTCAGTTAGCTCTGGGCTCCAACTCTAGCTGGAAATGTTCCCAGCTGCAGCACCAACAGCCACCTGCAAGCCTTCATTTCCTCACAGGTGAGACAAGGCTAACCCCTCCAAGGGAGGTCGTGAGGATTCAATAGAGGATCATCTACAAAAGTCCACTGCTGGCTGGTTAGCAGGGTCTCAATGAGCTCATGCAAAAGGGTGTATGTGCAGCTGTTTAGAGCAACAGTACATTTCTGCATCGTGCCTGTAGCTCAAGCGGCTAGGGCGCCAGCCACGTACACGGCAGCTGGCAGGTTCAAACCCAGCCCCGGCCTGCCAAAGAACAATGACAACTACAACCAAAAAACAGCCAGGCATTGTGGTGGGTGCCTGTAGTCCCAGCTACTTGGGGGAGGCTAAGGCAAGAGAATCTATTAAGTCCAAGAGTTTCAGGTTGCTGTGAGTTATGATGCTATGGCACTCTAACAAGAGTGACACAGTGAGATTCTGTCTCAAAAAAAAAAAAAAAACCAATTTCATACATTTCTGCAGACTTCTTACAACAAACCATAAGATCCTTGAGAAGGTAGTAAGCCCATGTGAGTTTAGCTGCAAGAAAAGTTGGAATGAAGACGGACTAAACCTCGGGAAGATACAAATTCATGCCAACTTGCAGAACCTTCATTGGATGAAACAAGGCAAAGCTCTTATGTAAAAAAATTACAGGCTCAGCACCTGTGGTTTAAGTGGCTAAGGCGCCAGCCACGTACACCAGAACTGGCCGGTTCCAATCCAGCCCAGATTTGCCAAACAACAATGACAACTAAAACCAAAAAACAGCTAGTATTGTGGTGGGTGCCTGTACTCCCAGCTACTTGGGAGGCTGAGGCAAGAGAACTCCTTAAGCCCAGGAATTTGAGGTTGCTGTGAGCTGTGATGCCACAGCACTCTACCAAGGGTGAGAAAGTGAGACTCTGTTTCAAAAAAAAAACAAAGAAAGACAGACATACGTGTTATCACGCTGTGTCAAGTCATGCCACAAACAGAGCCAAGGAGGGAAGATCCTGGCTAATGTCTGCCTTGTTCTATAATCTCTGTTCTTGTCAATCAATGATTCTTGCAATTCCATTTTTAACATAGTTCATTTTTTTAACCCTCCATTTTGGGTAAGGACACAGCATGTGTTAGGCCATTAAAATAAAACTGAAACAATATATTTTTTTCCATTCCTTAGGTGGGAAAATAGCATTCGTGCATTTATTACTTTTATTGCAAGAGGATAAAACCTCCAGGAACACTTCCACATTTTGCCGAAAAACCCATCTATTCCTAGAGCAAGCCCTCCCTGAATTCATGGGCACCGTGCATGCAGCCCTATGTTACTTAATCATCTTTTCTAAATGTCTGGCTGTCGAAGGTTTAAAAATATTTTTTCAGGACACCAGTAATAGTAGATTCCTGCAAGCAAAAAGTAAACGCTTCCCAACCTTTCTCAAGGGGACCACAGTAAATGGGAAATCAATGGTGGAGATCAAGGAATTTTAAAGTCTATCGCCAGGGTGTATAATCAGCAGAGTTGGCCCCTTTCACGCCGTCAAATAAAAGGAGGTCTGTGGCTCTTTGCTGGGTCACAGTGGCTCATTGGGAGAATGTGAATAGGCTGACACAGAGAAGCTGAGTACCCTCTTTCATTGCCTCTCCGCCCTTTCACAATCTTATCACCATTTCATTTTTTACCTCTTCAAAAGGTAGACTTATAATCTGACAGTTTTCTCTCCTCATTCCTTAAACAAAAAAAAAAAGAAAGAAAGAAAAATTATATATTCTACTGTGGATTCGGGAAAGAGAAGCCGGTAAGAAATCCTTGTGTGGATTTGAGAGTTGCTTAGTACAATTCAGCTTTAGAGGGAAGAGGAAATTGGGTTCTTTTGGAATCAGATGTATCGGTAACATCGGCCCATCGTACTTGTACCCCAAGTCTTGTGATTCCACCCAAGTCAGAAGTTGCTTGATGCCCAGGGCTTCAGGCTGAAGAAATAGAGCAAAGCTTTGCCCTGTGTGGCCACACAGCCTGAGCCCCGACACTGCAGCCTTTCAGGGGGTCCTGTGCAGAGCCCACACTCATGGGGCTTCCTCCTTCCCCCTCCTCTGTAGCAGGGATCTTTTTTAAAACACCAAGAAGCCCAATTTCCTGTTTTCAATGCTAGTAGCCGGAGCAACTTAAGCCAGAAGCCTCTGGAAAACATTCAGACCAGCATGCCATCAGCTCACTGCCAACATTAATGGAAATTATCCCCCCAAACTTGGTGCATCAGAAACTATTAAAAAAAGAAAGAAAAACACATAAAAGCATAAAAGAGTAAGATTTGTGACACCACAGGTTTTAATCACTGGTTCTTTCTGTTTTTCCCTCTTTTCTGCAAAGCTACAAGCACCCTGGAATTCCGAGTACTTGGGGGATCAACACCCGGTGGGTGATTTGCATTTGTAGGAGACAAATGCATTTCTCTGCTTCACTAAGTCCCGGGGTCTCTTATAGGTTAATGTTTTCATATAGAAGAGAAAACCAAAATTAAAAAAAAGGACACCCAGAACGAAATTAAAATATCTGATTGCAAACAAAATATTCTTCTCTTTTCTTT